GTATAATAAAAAGTACCAATTGTGAAGTAGACTTGTAAAAAATAAATGAATAAAAATGAGACACAAAGGAGTTGTGATTAATTTGGTAATGGTGATAGAGAGTACATATAGGCAAGTAAATAAATGTACTTTTGAAGGTTTGCTGATTACAATATTAACTATATTAGTTGATCCCTGATTCTTATATTTTAGTTGTTTTGAGGAACATGTCTTCATCTTAGGCTTATTTGGTTTTATTATATAATCATTAAATTGCCATTCTATGGATCCTTTACAGGGTTGTATTGCACTCGGGAGACTATTAATGTCCTTTCTTCAAAGAAAATTATGTTTTCATTTATCGCTTATTTTAATATGTATAAATTACAGTAATACAAGCTAAACGCTAAATTTTACTTCCATTTATTTTACAGGTTGATATTTAAAAATGTATCTTCAATAAGAAGCAGTGTTTTGTTTCATTTTGAAAATAGGTATCACTGCAATAGCTATCCAGATACATGTTACTTAAATGTATACCATTTACAAAATTAATTAACCTTTTCTTGACATGTAAAATTTATTTTTGATTTATTTTTATTTAAGCAATGAAGGAACTAATTATTTCAAAAATTCTCACGCGATTGACCAACCTGTAATTCATCAATGAATTTTTTTTAATTTGTAATTAAGTCTTACTTTAACGTTATATAAAGAGTTTTAAAAGATAAATTGAGTGACATATCGTGCATTTTAATTTCTTTGTGACTCAAAAGCAGACAGACAGTTTTTACTAAAATATTATCAAAGTCGGTGAACTTAGGTCGATTTATTAGACAGCTACCACTAATGAATGTTTTCAAAACAATAATAAATTAAAACTGTAGCCTGTTTTTAAACAAAAGATCAAACTGGTCGTGGAATTTTAACCTTTAGAATCTAGTTTAAAAATCCAAAAAATTATGTACGATGAATTATACATTATGTCAAAAAACATCAATGAGGTAGGGTCAAAAATCACATAACTTTTACTTCAAAAGAGACAATGTACCGAAATGTTTGTTTCTTGTGTATAGTGAAATATTGAGAGAAGTCACAATATGTAGGAATGAAATTATTCTAACACCCGAATTAGACGATTATACAATGTAGTTTAAAGTGTAGCAAATACACATTTCATCTTTAAAAGCAGTTATGGAAAACGACTGATTGGATTTGTTAAAAATATTATTTAATACCTGTAAAACATTTCAACACAAGAATCATGTTCAACTAAATGCAAACAGTACATGCAAGTAAGAATGGGTTTACATACATGTATGAATTACCAAAAAAGTTCACGCAACGCTTCTTTTTAATCTATGAATGTCTCCATTTATTTATAATTATTGATTATTCTAATTAATACTGGTATCCAAATTTATAACTTGTGTATATGTTTGAGATACTGGATTTCAGATCAGGATTCAACTGATTTTTAGCTCACCTGAGCTGAAAGCTCAAGTGAGCTTTTCTGATCACCCATTGTCCGTCGTCCGTCCGTCTGTCTGTCTGTCCGTCCGTCCGTCCGTCTGTAAACTTTTCACATTTTCAACTTCTTCTCAAGAACCACTTGCCCAATTTTAACCAAAATTGGCACAAAACATTCTTGGCTGAAGGGGAAGTTAAATTCTTAAAATGAAGGGCCAAGCCCCCTTACAAGGGGAGATAATCAAGAAAATACAAAAATAGGGTGGAGTCATTAAAAAATCTTCTTCTCAAGAACCACTGGGCCAGAAAAGCTGAAACTTATGTGGAAGCATCCTGGGGGAGTGTAGATTCTAAATTGTTAAAATCATGACCCCCGGGGGTAGGGCGGGGCCACAATAGGGAATCCAAGTTTTACATTGAAATATATAGAAAAAATCTTCTTCTCAAGAACCACTCGGCCAGAAAAGCTGAAACTAATGTGGAAGTATCCTGAGGGAGTGTTGATTATAAATTGTTAAAATCATGACCCCTGGGATAGGATGGGACCACAATAGGTGTATTACATGGGGGAAAGTCTGGTGAAGAACAGCAGGGCCAAAATTACTCAGGTGAGCGCTGTGGCCCATGGGCCTCTTGTTTTTAAGTTACTATGACTTCATCTTTCGTTGAACTTTTAAAAAAGTATAGTGCAGTCTCCCTGAGTACCAAGCTCTATTCAGATCGGAACAAAGTTGCAGAAAAGGAAGCATTTACAAGGTAATGTTGTTAGCCATGACAAGACTTGTGTCAGATTCATAAACCGATACAGAGAATTGTGCATTTTCTCTTGTGTCTCTACTTGTGTACGACGTTTGACTTAAATTTTGAATATAAAATTAACAAAGACATAGAGATTGAAGGATACATCATCATCGTATAGGCTCTTTTAATTTTTACCAGAAATACAAAGGAAAACATTAATATCACCGCTAATGGAAACATAAACATTGGTAAACATTCTCATTTTCAGATGTTAAGAGAATCATTAAAGTGGCATTTCAGCGTGTCAAAAACAACTTGTGTGGTTGTATTTCGTTGGAATTTAAAGGTTTCTGCTTTATTGCTTTATATGCACAATATACCTTGAATATAATTATAAAAGAATTATCGCATAACACAATGTGTTTTTCCCTCAGTTTCGGAATGTCTTTTGTGCGCAATATAAACAACAAGAAGTTTTAATTACTTTCTGTATGGTTCTTAATTTCTGTTTAATTATTTTTAGAGACAGAGAAAATGTTGAATTATATAATCAAAACATTTTAATATATTTTTCTTATCGAAGCATTTCATTCTTAACTGATAAACTGCAGGATAATGGTTATTTTGTAAGTAAATGCATTTTTTTTTATAGAGGATAATTTTTTGGAAAATTATTGGAAGTATAAATAAGATACGACTTATAATTTGACAATTTACCCATAGAAAAATTTATGTTGTAAATTATGTATCCAGGAAGAGAACTTCATTGAATAAAAGATTTCGAAAATTTATTTAGTTCTACTACCTCCATTTGAATTGCATCTTGCGCCTTGGAATGTCAGCTTTAAAAGTTTCATTCCGACGTCCACGTTGGGGTCTTGCTAGAATAACGCCCTAAAGATAAATAAAGTATCAAGAATATGAGTATAATATATGGTTAAAAAATGGAGACCATGCTTTAAACGGGGGAACGCATATAATACAAGAAATAATACCCGAACGGAGCGACAAAAGGCTTTGCCGTAAATCGGTTATGGCAATGCTTAGATCTCTAGCTCTGGTTTGCATTTGTCTTTCCGAATTTTCTTAACCAGAGAGCTACAGTTCTGTTTCAAGGTGTTTGACTTGGTTCTTGAACAAGTTTCTTTTATGTTTTTGTACTTAAAGATTTCTTCAATTTGAGAAAAATATAGCTTTATCAAAACTTGCACAACCCATATCCTTTCCACATCCAGGCACTTTTAGAGAGGGACTGCCGTAACATAATAAAATGGATATATATAGCCTAGGGTGATTTTCTGCAGGACCACCAAAATGTAATACAACGGGATATGTGTACATTTTAAGCAAATTCTCGAATGGGACGTAAAACAACAATCAACCTTACTCTTTCAAAGTATTTATCGTACTGTTTAGTTTGGATGCCTATTTTTCCATGCAGGCTGTACATAGAGCTATTTTGTGCAGTGAAATGCTTTATGCTGGTCCTGAAATATTTCTATAATTAATTTTTATGAATTTTATCATCATACTGTGACAATTATAGCAAATATATAATTTCAAGTCCAGGAAAAGACTGGGCCAAGTTTAATTTAACACTTTTTCAGTAATATCTAAAAATTTACATCATAGACCCCCACTTTTGATTTTCTTTTCTGTTTGTTTATTTATTGTTTTTTTAACGTCCCTCTCGAGAATTTTTCACTCATATGGAGACGCCACCACTTGCCGGTGGAGAGCTACAAATTTTGACCTATACTCAGGCACTCAGGGCCACTGAGCAGTGACCAGCACCTACTGCGACACGGGACCTCGGTTTATACGGTCTCATCCGAAAGACCGGTCTCCACGTCTCACAGTGGGATTCGAACCCGCGACGTAAGGATCAACTCCTTACTTCGCGACTCTAGAGCGAGCGCTCTAACCACTGCGCCACGCGGGCGACGATTTTCTTTTCTGAATTTATAAAATAACTTTGATAATACTGCTTAAATTTTTCAAGACAGAATAGTAGTATTTGGTCCAATGATTTATTTCAATGAAAAAAAAAATATTGGAGGAAAACGTTGAAGTGATTTATGGTAAATATATACACAATTTCAGTGCAAAGAGGTCATATTAAATGTACTGTAGAACCGTACTGACCATCATTTCTTGTTTTGATTTTTATTTAATCTATGTGTGTAAATACTAAAAATATACTTTACGAAAAATGCTTAAGACCTTTGAAAGTGGGATCCAACCTCCTTAAGAAAAATCACCCTTAAATGATTCATTATGAGGCTTTTTATGTTTAAAACTTCGAAATGTAAGAAAATAATGATGTCGTATTTCCAGAACGGCCCGCCTTTATCTCATTGATACTCTTTCCTGACTTGTTCATATTTTTAACTCACATTAAAGCAAATTTCAAAACTTTGTGAAAACGTTAAATTTTTTGGGCATGATAAAGCCAAAAACCGTAATCTCTACTTTATAGAAAACGCTAAAATCAATTTTAAAAATGGTTCTGTCGAAGGTATTCAATACCTGAAAGTCTACTTTCTATAATATTGCAGACAACTTTTCACACCCATGCTTATTTCACGTGGATTTTCCCACGTGAAAGTCATGTCTCTCAGAGAGGTCAGGCCAGTGCACTCATATATATATTAACAACAATTAATGCCAGTTTTATGGTAAATAGCCTCCACTGGTACATTCATCAGACGTCCACCTTCACTTTCAAATGAATTACAGCTCTAATATTGGATGACTTACATTCATTGTGTGTTTTCTCTCCCCTAAACATAGGGATAGATAACACCAACTGATATCATAGCCAAGCACAAACCATAGGCGATCTTTTATTAATCAAACTAACATTTAGTACACAGTGATACGACAATATTACGATATATTTATCTTTCAATCATCATAATGTGAAGTTTGGAATCTCCGTCAGATGTTTGGCGGATATTGAAAAGCGACAACAGATTCTCCTTGTTCTCGGTTGAATTAATGCCACAAGAAACTTTGCGTAGTACTCGCTTGATTCTATTTTGAGGCTTGTTTACTTCAATTTCCAGTCCTTCTTTCTTAAGCCATTCCTTGTCTTTGTCCAGGGAGTAATCTAAGATGAAAAGTAGTATAAAATGGTTAAAACGCTCCAAATGATGCAAAATTGGCTATTACAGGAACAGGGATACTCTATCAGGTATCAACTTTCATTTCGATGGAGGAAAAACTAACGATTTTTTTGTTTTACTGTGAAATCAATAATTTTTGTGGCCACTAGGGTTTAATTTTCGTTGCTTTTGCAGTATTCAGAGACCTACGAAATCACGTCCTCCACGAAATATTAAAATATCAAACCGAGTTTCATCCTTGTCTACCAACCACATATGAAAGCCCCATGAACCAATATTTTTTCTTAAGCCAGGAAAATTTGTTTCCAAACTAAGCGATTTTTCGTATATTATTATATAGTAATTCTTTTTCTTTTATGTTGAATAGTTTACAGGTGAATATATGGATTTCTCCATCAAATGGTCAATTATTTTTTTTAACATCACTTAATATATTTGTTTAGACTCAAAATTGTATTATAAAAATAGTGTTCAAGTTGCTTCTTTGGATGCTGTGGCCATACTTGTTTTGACTGAAATATGGCGGATTTCTGCTCGAGAGGTAATAATGTTAGATAGAAACTACAAAAAAGATATTAGAAATATATCTCCTTTGTTTAGTTTTACATTTTACTTTGACTTAAAGAAAATGTTCTCTTTTTATACAAAATGACGATTACTTGATGCCGATTTCGAGTTTTAAATATTTTAACACGGCTTTTCGTTACCTCATAACTTTTACATGAAAAGAAGTCATTTTCTGTGTCTTTCAGTTGACATTAGATACATCGATGACGTTTTATCAATTAACACTATAAAGAAGTAAATACTGTTGTTTCAAATATCAACCTTGTAACTTCTCTAAAATTAAACATTGATATCTTTAGTTTGACTTTTCCCCTACGCCTTTGGGTCTATCTAATCACGGGTGTAAATTGGCGCCAAAACGTCACCAAAATACTATGTAGATTCAAAGCCATAATATTTACCAATATTTTCACTAAATATGGCACTTTGTTAAAACGTTATTGGCCACAACAAACGCGATTCAAGAAACTTGATACTGGAAATCTTCATCATATTTGGTGACTAGGCCGATTTCAATGATTAACGTATCATCTTCTTTTCATGCATATATTGATCAGATACATCTTAAGGTCAAGATCTAGTAAATGAAAGGTGCCTACAGATTTCTCAAATTTAAGAAATAAATTCCTTTAATGGTGCTTTATAACTTTAGCTTGGTCAGATAAGGTGTTTCGGGGCATAATTTGTAGATGAACAAGACGAAAAATCATATTTTAAACTGTCATTTTCCATGGAAAATTAAGAAAACTAGTCATGAATACGGGAGTTTTTTTCCATATCAGACAAAGAAATGCATCCAGATTGCCTACAGTCTCTCAGAAAACGGTAATTTGTATGTTCTTGGCCTCTTCTTTAAAAAAATATTAAATTGAATATAGGTATCGGGATGACTTTTCACATGATTTCAAATTGAATTGTATGAAAGTACTTTATTTTCTACAAAATTCTACTAGAGCCGTAAAGTACGGGAAAAAGAAAGTTAAAATTGATTATGACGTCATAATGGATCTAGCACCAAAAAGTTAGTCTGAAGTCATTTACTAGATCTTGACCTTAACTGAACTTAAAATAAGCCACCACAGATTATGATACATCTGTGTCATATTTGAATGTTTTAATAGAGAGAGACATTGTCAAACTTACAACTTCAATTTATTGCAAGTCATCACTACTTCCCTTATTAGTCTCCTACCGGATTGTTTCGAGTTGATGCGATAGACAAATGTATGTTCTGAGTACGATGAATTCCTAAACCAAACAGGATACTGACAAATAAGTTAAAGTTACATGAGTATCAACAATCTTGTTTTAAATCAATATTTGCAAATTCCATGATCATTTCATTGAATTTGTAATCTGTGGAAATGTAGCGTGTTGTTGAGTCGTGTGCTGACTGGCGTTTAAAATAAAATCAGCTTTTTCTACAGATACAAATCAGCTTGCCTGATCAAGACAAAAATTTCACTGCGGATGTGAAGGTTCGATAGGGGATGTCTGATGCTTCCAGTCTTAAAAATCAAGTATGTGGAAATTTTCAATCGAAACGGATAAAAAAAAAAAACAACAACAAAAACTGTGAAATGTACGATCTGTGAAGCCCAATGATCCTTTTGTAGAATCATGTCTTATAAGCTAGCAATTGAAATCCAGATAAATTAGAGGACGAAGCGCAACCGACTGTTGACAATTCCTCATCCGTTTCGTGTCCATCAGAAAGAAATCAATATTTTCTTCGGCAACTGGATTACTTACCTCAAAGTTGAAGAAAGCCGTCTTTTCTTAGACAATATCGATAAGATGATTTTCCTTAACAAAAACTGCTGAACTTCCATTGTACATGTAGAAAGTAATTATAAATGCTTTAATACTGCGAGAATTATTTGTCAATTATTGTCTGTGTGGTGTTTTTTTGTTTGTTTGTTTTTATTTTTTTTTTAATTTTTTTTTATTTATTTATTTTTTTTTTATAAATTATGCATCACTTTACTGCGTTTTGTTTGTTAAATTATAAGGAAAGTACAGATAACTGGACTTGATCTCATACCATGTACCCATTATTTAGCTATTTTAAGAATGTTCAAATGCAGGGAGCATACAATAAAACCGTTTAATACCTCCATAATTATTAAAATAACATGCTTTGTAGAGATTGGGCGTTTTGATGGCCGGGGCAATCAAAAGTTGAGCAAACAGTATTCAACATATGCAAGCACCCGACGTGTGGATGTGTGCGTCACTGCGTTTAAATCATCCTCCCAATTTATATTAAAAGTATTAAAAAAACGACATGCTGGCATTTTTCAAAAATGTTTATTATTACCTAAAACGGTCTTTACAGATCAATTCATGAATGCAAATGATGCTGGGGAAAATCACACAATTTGGAGAAATTATTGGCTCTGAAACACACTATCCACATGTCAGATGCCTGTGAACATCTGAAACTAACACATCCATTTGATGTTACTTTTTGCGTAAGTAACAAAAGGGTTTTTGAATTATAAATAAGTCGTATACCTGTAAACGTGAATGAACCGAAGAAGGATAACTCTTGCATAGTCTTTGCTAACCTACACAAAATTCGTTTTTACAAAATGTTCCGAATATTCTACTATAGTTCGAATATTGCAAGCGACTATAGAAAATAAAATTTTGAATCCCTTAAAACGATGCTAGGTCATCGAATTACTCAGTTGAAAAACACGAAAATATATTATTTGTGTAAATAAAAAAAATTCTACCAACAAAAATGAAGCTTATCTTGGAAATGGCTGTATAGTTAAAGATATTATGTGTAAATGTCGGATTACATTCTATGACGAAGGAATAATGAGTGATGCTCACGGTTACAAGTTTCTATACAGAGATTGCGCGCTTTCGTTTGCGTAGGAATCTCAGGTAAATTTTCCAACGACCGCCAATGCATGGACGATTTTATTGGTTACTGTGAAAGGTGACACAGGTTAAACCTTTGTTAACATTTTAGTCCTCCGTTTTCACTGAAAGTGGGGGCTCGAAAAGCCTTTAAGCTTTTGCAATGAAGTTTTACATAACAAATCCCTATGGCCTAAAGAAGTCTACCCCTATTGGTTTTGAGGTAAAAGGTCAAGGTCATAAATTCTGTGTTTTAACACTTTCAGAGAATTTGTGTCTCCTGCGATATCTCGAGAAGCCTTTGAGCTTTTGCAATGAATTTCATACTACTACTCCCTGTGGCCTAAGAAAGACCACTATTGGGTTTGAGATCAAAAGTCAAGGTCTTAAATTCATACATTCTGTCTGTGTGAAACACTCTTTTCTGGGCGATATCTAAAGAAGCTCTTGATCTTTTGCAATTAACTTTTATACGATAACTCCTCATGGCCCCATCCACCCCTCTCAAAGGTACCGCGCCGTTGTTTTTTTCTATGGGTCAATTTGTTTTATATAGTAATCAAAAGTCAATTGGGAATTTGTTGGCATCGATCACGCTTAAAGTTTTAGAATTACTCCACGTTAGTTTGAAAGATTTAGCTTATATTATATCTGCATGTGCTGTTTGCATTTAATTTGTAATAAAGTCATATGGATTATTGTCTAGGGTCATGATTCTCGCTTTAGGTGCGTGAGGTCCAGGATTCAAATCTCGAATTTAGCCCAAATATATTTTTTCATATTGTTTTCGATTTACAAAATGATAGTATTCAACGTATGTATATGTGTAATGAAGTTATGACGTCTAGTGTGTACAAACCTATTCAAAGAATCATTATTGCAGTGTGATTAATATTTTATATAAAAAGAATCGCAGTAGATACTGGCACGAAAAATATTCCTCAGTGCTCAGTGGACCTGTGTGCCGAGTATAGGTCTATATTTGCAGTCTTCCACCGGGAAATGGTGAAAAATTCTCGAGAGAGAGAGAAAAAAAAAACAAACAAAAAAACTTTGAGTGATAGTATTTTAATACCACAGATGTTAAGTTCTATTATCGATAACCTTATAGTTTTGTAATTTAAAAAAAAAAAATCGGGCTATTTTCGATAATGTAAAAGTACTTGGACTTGACATTGTACGGAAGACTCCATGATTGGAAAGACAGATGGTACACATGTAGCATCGGCCCGTAGTACGCGGGATTTTTCGGAAGTTGCCCTCCCCCTCCACTTACAAAATTTAGCTACAGGCCTATAGCAAGCTATTTGGATTGCTGTATATCAAATTTTGCGATGTCGTTTAGGGAACAGTAATTTACAATTACATTTGTAAATAATGCGTGTTGAATTAAATACGTTTATATAGACATACATTTCAATCATTATAGAAACTACCACCCTTACATGCTTCATAAAATATTCCTGAAAATGAGTGACGTCACAACTAGTGACTGGAGGAGTTTACTTTTTTCAATGTAGTAAAGCCAATTTGATTGTAACAACAGATGTTTGTGAAACACATATCCCCCCCCCCCCCGGGACACACATTATAGGGTGCACAAGCCTTTATTATGGACAATGTACATGGAAATGAAAATGACCTTTTTGAACTTAAAATCAATAGGGGTCATCTACCGTGATGCATCAACCAGAAATAGTCTTCTACATCACATCTTTGGCTTTTCTCATGATAAATCAGTAATGAATTTGTTCAACCTTTGCAGAAATAATGAACGGAAAGCAAATAATTGGATTTTTCCTAAGTCCAAGGGGAGTAACTGTCAAAAATCGCTCGGTCGTACCCAAAACAGAACCTGACCTAGATATTCTTATGATAAATCTGTATACCAAATTTCATTGCAGTATGTGCAACCTCTGCGAAGAAATTGAACGGAAACTGTTGTTGGACCGACAGACAGCGGCAAAGCAATATGCCCTCCCTTCTTCGAAGGGAGCATAAAATATTTTTTTTAATTCAACCAGTTTATTCAAGTTGTTCAGTAAAATAATATTCATTTATTAAAAAAATGCTTGCGAGAATATAATTACAGAAAAGCAATGACAAAGCAAGACTGTAACTGTGTGCAGTTTTGGTTGTTTGTATATGTATACGTTATACGTCCTTGTGTCATCACTAGCAGCACAGACTGTCATGATCTCCCTACCACCCTCTGTATTGTTCATTTACTGTGTATTGTGTGCATCCAAACGGAAACTGGGTCCCTCCCCCCTCCCCCATTCAAATCCGCTTCTGACATATAGAATACAATTTACTTTCAAACGTAGTATGAGATTTATTATGTTAATTCTAAGTTCTTTATGAATTTTAGGTTAAGCAATTAAAACGATGTTTCACGCAAGTGGAACTTCGTGATAAAGCCTCTACATGTATGCAGAAGTACATAAATTTTGTATTTTAGTACTTAAGTATTTTATCCAATAGTTGCTGAAACTCAGTGGCCTACATCTTACATGTATGTCTTATGTCATTTTAGGATATTTATGGCACTCTATAGCTTGAGTATCTCTGACGTTTTGTCAGTGAATTATGAATGAGTAATGGTCAATGATCATTAATTCAAAGTTGGCAGCAATTCTCTACGTTCCTTCATGCAAAGTGCATGTATTTTAGTAATCATCCCATGGGAGAAATTGTCATTATAGTGAATGAAGATAGGGAAAATAGGTGACTTACCAGCCTTTAAGAGTTTAGAAACTATCTTGACACAACCCCTGTCAAGTGTGTTAATAGCAATAAAAAGTGCACTATGTCCAAGTGTATCTGTTACATTGACGTCACTTCCGTGTCTGATCAGGTAGTCAGCAATGTCGTAGTTGGAATCTTGCAGAGCTATCAGTAAGGAAGTTTTCCCTGTATTGTCTCGCATTTCTATATCAGCTCCTGTTTAAACAAATATATTTTTCAGCATTGTCATCTTATTTTTTTTCAGTATTTCATCCAACAATCACACAATTCATCCAAAAATATACTTTTTCCAAAGAGATAAGGAACTCTTTCAATTTTTATTTATTAATGTGCGATTTAATAATAAATAGCTAAAGCAATCCTGACAGATTCCCGCATGGCAAAGGCATCTGTGAAGTTACTTGCTTTCGTCATTTCAATTTTTATGGTCTGAGATGAAAATAATTGTTCATTTGGTTTTGACTTCATGGTTGAAAAAGTGTAGAGTTATAATGTTTTTGAATTTTTAGCATGAGTATGTGAGTCTCTGTATACATTGTACCTCGAGACATCGAAAATTGCATACCCATGAAAATGAGTAATTTCACAGCGACTGGTTTGCTTACATTATGTTATATTTGCTTGCCACTTTCTACTTCATAACTCTTTTTAAACAGATTGTTTTACTTATGGAATATAATGTGGTTTATCGCGTCTGCACAATCCGTAGATGTAAAGATACAGTATACATGTATGTTGTATGGGAAAATGCAAGACGCAATATAAAATTTGGCTTTGACACAACTTCATTCAAGATTATACATTAAAAATTAAAAAAAAAGAAAAATACCCATATAAACAAGTTTAATTGCATAATAAACCTAATGTAAAAAAATTGTCTAATTAGAACTATCAAAGGGCACTCGCTGAAATGGAGATCCGTTGGGTCAAACTAAGACTTGTATAGCATTTAAGTATAGTTTAGACACTCGCTTTAAGACATTTTTGTCCCGACCACATAGTAATCTGAACTACAAACAAGCTAAGTCAGAGAATTGTGTCCCCAGCTTAAGGAGAAAAAGAGAGTGGAAGAACTAGACAAAAATTGCAGATGGAGAAGGAAAGAAGGTCATCCTTGACCTTTCAGACGTTAAAGTCAATATCAGTTCTTTTAAAGATAAAGAAATTCAGGACCAAAAGTTTCATTGCAAAAGCCTTTATTATATCTCATTATAATTCATTAATTATTCTATACAACGCGTTATCTGATTGGTTCTAGATTTTCACGTGACAGGGCCATAAAACTTCATATTTCCCTGTCGTCGTCATGCTTTTCATCATATTCAAACTCTTCGGAGACCTAATGCATTTTCCCGCAATAGTTATCGTTCGTTTAACGAAAACCCCCCGAGAGTAGTTGACGTCACAATAGCCTGGTTCACGTCACAAATCTGTAAATTGTTTCAGTAACACTACTGATAGTCTGGTTCCCTGTCCCTGTTATGCTTCGTATACTCCTCCTGCCTTGGCAAGAATGAGCCAGGGAACCAGGCTACACTGCTGAAAGTGAATTTAAGAGCGGTGCCGAATTTGAAGTTCATGTTTATTTTAAAAAGGTTTTGCTTGTTTCTGTATAATAAACAATTCATTGCATGAATGTTTGGGAAACATGAAGATTTATATTCAGCCAAAAATAAAAACATATTACCCTCGGGCGAAGCCCTCGAGAAATATGATTTTTCTTGGATGAATAAATCTTCATATTTCCCTCACGATCATGCAATAAATGTAACAGAGAACGTAGAATTATTCTCTGAAAACTAATATGCAATATATATTTCTGACCTTTACCTTTTGACCTAAAAATCAATATGGGTTGTTTTAGGCCATGAGGGTTGCGAAATAAAATTTATTGCAAAATCTTTTAAAGATATAATTTGAAAAAAAAGTGGAACACAGACAATGTATGAATTTATGACCTCTGGCCTTTTAACCTTGAAGTCGATAGGGTTCTTTAGACCACATGGAGTCGTGGTATTAAATTTTATCGACGAGAGCTCAATGAAAACTAAAGTTTTCATCTGGAAAGTACGAATTTATTACCCTTGACCTTTTGACCTCAAAATAAGAGAGGGTTTTCTTCAGACCATAAGGCGTTGTGATATATAATTTCATTGTAAAACCCCAAAGACTTCTTCAGATATTGTCCGGAAACGAAATTGCTACACACAAACATAATATATCAGTATACGACCTTGACCTCTGGACCTTAAAATTGATTTCTTTATGTAATATCACAACTTTTGATAATGAATTTATCGAAGAAAGGTCAAAGAAATATAAAGTTATCTTCTGGAAAAATATTATTTGTAATGTATGATTTTTTTAATATTGACATTCGATCTCAAAATCAAACGAAGTTTTCTTTAGGCCATAAGGAGTTGCGATAAACTTAAAATTATTGCAAAAGCTCAAAAAACTTTTAAAAATAATGCCCGGAAACGAAAGTGTTAAAGAAGGTATGAAATTATAGTCTTGATCATTGAGCTTTTGTCCTCAAAATCAAAAGGGTTTTTGCTAGACCATAGGAAGTTGTGTTTAAAAATGTCATTGCAAAAGCTCAAAGGCTTCTCGAGATATCGCCCGGAAACAAGTGTTACATACAGACAGAAAATATGAATTTATTTCCTTGTCCTTGGGATCTTAAAATCAAAAGGGGTTCTGATATAAAATTCCATTGCAAATTTTCAAAGTCTTCTTGAGAGATCTCCCGGAAACGAATGTGTTACAAACACACACATACAGACGGGTCGCCCGCGTGGCGCAGTGGTTAGAGCGTCTGCTCTAGAGTCGCGAAGTAAGGAGTTGATCCTTGGGACGTGGAGACCGGTCCTTCGGATGAGACCGTATAAACCGACGTCCCGTGTCGCAGTAGGTGCTGGCACGAAAAAGATCCCTCACTGCTCAATGGCCGTAGGTGCCGAGTATAGGACAAAATTTGCAGCTCTCCACCGGCAAGTGGTGGCGTCTCCATGTGAGTGAAAAAATCTCAAGAGGGACGTTAAACAACATACAATCAATCACATACAGACGGACGGACAGACAGACCTTAAATAATAACCCCCACGTTCAGTAAAAAGGGCTAACTGATTGTCTAGATGTTCTAAAACAGAAGCGCTATCAAGATATTGCATTTACACGGAAAGTTATTTATTATCAGAATCGAGTTCACAATTTTTGTTTTTTTTTTCTCTCGAAACTTGTAGAGAAGCATACATATGCTCACAAAATGTCAAAGATGAACTTTGCAGACCAGTGGTTTGCATAAATAAGATGCACTACTTGTAGTAACCTCTGTTTTACTCCTAACTTTGCTTTCGAGGCATAATAAACAAGATGATGGTAAGAAATTATCACAATTAAAAACACAACCGTCATTAGCTACATGTACAATGGTGAAACGGAGATGCAAAAGATTAACACGCAGGAAAGTGCTAATAAGATTATAACTTGCATTTGAAATTAAAAGTGATTCGTTCCTCAAAACAAACCAAAACCCAACATCGTTTTCAATTATTTGCAGCAAGTATTCAATTTGTATTATCGGAATACATATTTTAACCTCTGCGTGTTACATGTATCTACATGTGCGAATTCATGATCACTGTCAAAATAGTCCACTCAGATTTGATGTCGATAGTGTTAATTCAGTTAGCAATAATTTGTATATGACGTAAAGAAACATGTACAGTAAAACTCGGGTTTTACTGTCATAACTAAATTTTTTAAGGAAATCTCGGTTATTAAGACTTTTCCTTATTAAACGGATATGATGAATCACGGTTATTCACAGTCCTCATCACTGCCCTGTAACCAAGTTTTACTATATCCGTTACGCTTTTTTACATTGTAACTTGTGTTGTTCAGATGCCTAAAATGCTAGCTACACCAGCAAATCACCACAACTTAAAAAAATTGATCGAGAACCAAAATAAAGGAAAAGGCTGAGCGTTATTCGATTCAATTAATTTGGGACGCCACCATTTACCGGAGGAGGACTGCAAATTTATACCTGTACTCTGCAAGTAGGGCCTTTAGGTTTATACGGTCTCGTCCGAAGGACCGGTCTCCGCTTCACAAAGTGGATTTCGAACCCGCGATGTAAGGATCATCTCCTTACTCCGCGACTCTAGAGAAAAGGCTCTAACCACTGTGCCACGCGGACGATAAGAAAATTTTGTGAAGTTCTGTAAAAAACGTACTCCTCATAACGTGTTTGATTTAAATAAAACAAAAATTGCTTTAAACTTAAATACACAACAGGCCTGGTTAATCCACCTTTTTTTGTTCACTTGCAAAATCCAGCATTTGACTAAATAGAATTTTCAAGTTTTGGCAGTTTACGTGTGTGCGTGTTTGTTTTATTTGCTTTTTTGCCTTTATAAATGTTGCTACGGGCCTGTATATAGGTAATTAATTTCAATGAATTTGATGAAGGGTTTTGCCACACTGATAAAAATATGAATGATGACTGCACTTAACGACATGCGAAAGAATTTGCGACAAAATACACTTTCAAAACGAGCATTTTGCAGGAATGGTCAACATCCAATCTACAACTTTACGTTATTACATGTATTTACAAAGAACAAATCTGTTTTCATAGGCAGGGTTAATCACGATTTCTTGAATCTTCATACGATAATGAGGACGCCCATTTTTTTTTAGCCAGTATACATAGTCGGTGAATGCTTGTTATCTCTTTAACCGTTTAACAGTTAGTAGTTTTATACGTGCATTAATAAAGTTGTGTCAGAAGATTAATAGATAAATATGCGCTCATGGTTTAAAAGAGATAAAACTGATTCATGGTACATTCGCCCTCTCAGTTGTAACCAAGGGTTGTGACATGTTGAATATTATAATTAGGTTCTCCAAACGAAGTTTGTGAATATATTGTTTTTACTTTCATTTTTTCAAAATTTCTCCGGTACTTTTTGTCCGCGAGTGTTCTCGGAAACTACTCATCCGATTGAGATGAAACCTTCTTAGGGTTAACAGGCATGCTGTGTAGATGTGCGTAACAAAGGTGATTTGCGCGCACATGCATGCACGTAAGTGCGCGTGCAATAAGTAAAATGACTGATATACTTAATATAACCATTACTTTTACATTTCTGATGAAATGCTTTGAAACTCAAAACATAAAGATATATTAGTGGTGTAAACAAGACGACATGGTCAAATTAGCGTGAACGTACGCCTATTCACCTGCGCTTCGCTCTAATTGGCCGAAACAAATAATTATCAATATCTTCTTGATTTTTGACGAAATCCTTTGAAATTTAAGATACAGGTAGATGTATATATTTAAAGGTTCTACAGTATGTCATATACAGAAATTATTGAAAACACGCGCATGCACGGTTCTGCAATTTGATTGGCTGAAACTATAAATGGCTATAACTTCTTTCGTTTTCAACAGAAAACAATGAAATTAAAAATAGAGATAGGTATAATGGATTCCTACATTATACTAAGTCAAAATCTGATTGACTAAGGTTGTTATTTAGTATTTACATTGTATATCGTTCTTAATTGTTAACGAAAAAAAAAAACAACCCCGAAATTTAGAGTATGTATAGAGGATATTCAGTGTTTTGTAGTTGGATATGGATTTTACGAGTGGGACAGGATTTTTTTTGTATTTTCACGAGTGCGAAGGACGAGTAAAATATATGAAAAAAAATCTTACTCACGAGTGAAATAAATTCCAAATCCAACTACATGCATTGAATTTTCTCTTTATTACATATTCTTTTATTTCCCTTCTGCCCCTGTCTTTTCTTAAGGAGGAGAAGGACCTTGAGCTAAAAAAAATACTTGCAAATCCTTCATATTATTAACTGTAAAAATTTCGAATGATGAAGCTGACCTCATTATTTCACAGGACATCGTTAAAGAGGACATAAGCATGACAAAAACGTGTCATGTTACATTTCACGAGTACGGGAAAAACCATCTTCGCTAGCCAAGGGTTTCTGATACGCTACTCTCCTCATAAACCCTTGGCATACGCTGCTGACAAAAGACGGGATTGTTCTTGTCACGTGATCATGATTCTTACCAGGTACGCACAGATTGCGTCATCGACAGAAATAAAAAGCGTATTTAAAAAATTTGTTTTTAAAGAATAATTAACAAGAAAGTATTGAGTTATGTTAATTTATTTAAACATGTAAAAATGCAAATCTACATCTTCAGTTTAGATTCTTAATCACATATTTTGCACGTTGCTTTAGAAATTGGATGACACCGTATTGCTATTCATAGAATGGCATGTTATCCTACGAATCATTGTTTACTTGCGTTTTACATTACCGATATTAAAGAGTCAAGATATATCCCGAACGCAAATACAGGTGACTCGAGATCTCTCGAAGTTCAAGGAACCGTAAGAAAAGTTCGAGAGATCGGGGGGTTCGAGAGATAGAAAGTGAATAAAATCCTGAATTTCCAGGTCCGATCATCATTGTTCTACTATTATACATGCTGGAAGGATATATTGATAATGTCATTACACGTTTTCATTCGTATTTTACAGGTAATTCACTTAATTTCAACAAAAATGATCGTATTTTGAATAAATGAAATGATTATTTTAAGTTTCAATATTTATTTGTTCTTATTTCATGATTACATGAGACCTGAATAGCAATTGTCGATTTAGCTACCCCCCGGGCTTGAACGGTCCTTCAAAAGATTGCTCGTAATCGGTATTCAGTTCTTGAGATAGGATTTCTTGTGCAATGTTTGCCAAACTGGAATTGTTTAGACTCTAAAATACTAAAGTTCATAATCTGTGGAAAATTACTGACACGTCCCTTAATTATTTTCTCAAAATTATCGTCTCGTCCAGTCAAAATAAGTTGTGAAGCGATTTGTATATAATTTACAATTAACCAATTAAATTATTTCAACACTCGGACGACTCACAGGTGTAGTATCATCTATGTCAACACCCAGTTAACACATCCATCCCAGCCCCTGGCGTTCACTGTTATCCAGGTAAGTCTAAGATGCATTATAATTTTACCCTTGATTGATGTGTATACCGGCGCAATCAAAACTTCGAGAGATAGAGAGTAAAAAACAATGAAATGTGTGTAACAGGACCCAGGTCTTGGTTCGAGAGATAGAGAACTTCGAGAGATCGGGAGTTCGAGAGATCAGGAGTAAATTTGCTTAGTTATATAGAGGAAAAAAATGGGACCGGAGGTTCACTTCGAGAGATCGAGAACTTCGAGAGATCGGAGTTCGAGCCATCGAGAGTCACCTATATCGTCATTTACAAAAAACAATTGCTGATTGGTCGAACGATGTCGATCAACTCCAATCACAACTTGAGAAAAAAATCCCAACTTTTTTTAACACCGTATGTCAAGGGCTTATGAGGAGAGTAGCGTATCAGAAGCCCTTGGCTAGCGAAGATGGGGAAAAACCAACTATAAGCGAAATGAGATATACCTATATAAGATTTCCGTCATCAGCCATGCTAAAAAAAAAAATTGTGTTCCCCGTTTCTCAAAATATTTCATCATTTGCTGATTATGACCTGTTTTTTACGTAATACCGCCCCTGTGTTCACCGAGTATGATCTTGCTGTACTAACAGATCCTTTATGACGTCACCGACTTGTTGGACGCGCAGTTTAGGGAAACAGAGGAGTGGATCAATCTTTTTCATAATTTGTTAATGTTTACAAGAATGTTAACACTTTTAATTTTTTTTTAATATAAAAAATGGTAATTAAAGTTTTAAAAATGGCAAAAATTTATACATGAACTGATGCTTTACATGTTTTGCACTTATATAAACGGAGACTATGACGTAGTTAACCAGTCATGTGACCATGTGTCCTTCATCCCCTTGACACAGTGTCATAGGCTGTGACGTCATAATTGAGCGGCTGAGACGTCATAGCTTAGCAATTGTGATATTGAACACACTGTAACATGGGTTTTAGCAAAATATTTAGGAAGAAATTGGCAGTTTTAATCTCTAACAAGACGGCTTAAATACTATATCTTATGACAGGCCAAAAATTATTTTTTACTTACTTTGATATCCTTTCACACTGTGACAGAATATCACTTTGATATCCTTTCACACTTCGAGAGAATAACACTTTTATTCGATAAATAAATATCAGTATTTCACTGTTGAAAATGTAATAAATAACTAATGCAAGTTCCTACATTATTCAATTATTAGAAATGAATATGAGGACATGCATGCACGCGCACTGATATCTGATTCTGACTTAGTGTTTTACCGGGTGTGTATGCACACATCACTGAGCACGGACTGACAATACTCGTGAGTTTGCTTTCTCGCATTTCTACTCTGAACTTTCTGGATTATAGTTTTCATGTTTTACACTAATACACAACAAAATTTCTACTTTCCTTAAGCATTATGGATAAAGTTTACTTTGTGAAAGTGCAAGCTTAAGGAAATGTGTCATGAAACGTGTCTCAAAATTCATAGTTTTAATAATTTCCAGAAAAAAAGTAGTCTCTTAACTTGTTTTACTATATTTCGGTGTGAAGTGCTCTAGCAACATTAAAGTCATGATATTATCTAGAAAATTTTTTAAAAAAATATGAGCTTTAAATATATGTCCCAGCCCCTTTAAATTGTCAGGCATATATTTAAAATCTTCTGAACTAACATGGACGTGGCCATACTGTTAATTCCATTTTGAAACCTTTGTAAATAGTGCACTTGTGCCCTACAGAATAGAGAGGGACATGGGGAAAGAGAGATGTATTTTTTATACATGTCATATTTATTTATCTTGTCCACCGGTAATTTTAGACCCATTCTTTCAATACTATGCATAATTTATCAACCTTTAGGAAAATAAATGTTCAATCGAGGGCAAGTAAGTGTAAATTTTCTATATTTGGAAAGCGGTAAGTACAAAATACATACAATCATTTTATTGTATCATGGTCTAAAATTATATTAAAGAGACACCGTGACGGAAAAAGGGGAAAATTGACAAAAGTAGAATGTTTGCATGATACATGCAAATTTTGTTCAATTCTTGGAGATATTAGGTTTCAGAAAATCACAGGTTTCAGAACCTAAAAAATCTACCTTTACGGAGAAAAATAAAAGTAAAAATAATTCTTCTTTGCCCCCACACAAAAAATGCTTCACTTCTTCATCTTTATTGTACACATGCGCAGAAAAGTTGAAGAATTTACCATGGTGTCAATTCCATAGATATAAATGTCGGATGACCGAGAATTTTGATACAATCTTCAATAAAGATGATCAGAATTTATTCCTCGCTTTTGCTTGCACCAATTCAATATTGTTCACAGGTTCACGCTAAAAGTAAAAGACGCGTGACCTAGACATTGACGATAACGATACAACCTTCGTTTTTCAGGCACTTACGTTTTGCAGTTCTTTCTTGCTTTACAGTGCAGTTGAGTTGTCAAACTTCGCTTTATTTATATTTCATATAAATCTTTTGTTTGGTGATACAATTATCTCAAAAGAAGCACATGATTTTGACTCATTTTGTAACTTTAACATTTATATTCGGTTCCAAATTGACATTTTTTTTTATTATTAACAAAAGTGAAATAAGATTAAGATATGAAAGCAAAAGAAGCGACCGAAAAAGACAAAAAAAAAAGGCGTTAAATATAGTCATTTATGCAAAACACTATTCCTCCTAGATTTCTATAATTATACATCTTTCTTTATTTTGACGTACGCTTTTGTCATTATTATCAAAATAGGAATTTATGTGATTATTATGCAAAGCAAACTACATTGCCATCTCACCTGCTTTCATTAAACATTTAACCAACTCCATATCGTTCAGTGTCACAGCGCACATTAGAGGGGTTTGTCCCAAGTCATTGCTGTTATCAATCTGGCATCGATCTGTAAAAAATGAAACAAATGACCGAAAAAGAAATCAAGTGGGTTCCATGATACAGAGACATATATGCATGTATTTGTTTACGTGTTTAGATGTTTTAAAACTACTGTGGCAATATGTGCAAGTACATATCAATTATTAAATGCAATGGTTGACCTCTTATAAGTTCTAATTTTTACCATCGGATAAAAACATGTCCACGATATCGACATTCCCTGCTTCCACTGCTAAATGAAGAAGCGAGTTTTTATCTCTATTTCGAATGTTGGGGTTTTTTCCGGACAATAAATAGTTATCAACAGCTTTTTTATCGCCATTTAAAACACACTGAAAAATGTCAATTCCTACAACAACGTAACCCGGATTGTCATGGGTTTCCAGCACTTCTCCATTCGATGCAAGTCGTTTTCGTCTAAGCAAGACTGGCGCATCTTTAGCAAATTTCCTTTTTGATAAAGTTTTCATCAGAATTAAATCCATTTTTAACTAAATATTGATAGTTTTCCTTTCGCAAATTCTATATCACACCATAACAACTGAAATAAAGACTACGTTAACCTTCAAGTTAAGACCTGTTGTATGCATTTCCTTCATCAGCTGTTCTGTGCATTTTTATGGCAAGAAAAAGGTCATTGAATGTTCCCATTCATCAAAAAAGGAAACCCTTGACCACCCTTGAGTGGATTTCTGATAGCGTTATAGCCTACATCTTGACATCCAGTCAGGTGTATTTGAACTTCACAGAAAAATGCAGAATCATAATTTTTCAAAATAATGCCTATTAGACAAAAATGCTAGTTTTACCTAATATATGCTTCACCAATCCAAACAGTGGACAGGACTGCATGCATGATAATGATAAATCTTCATGTTCACACTATGCAGCACAATTATATGACGTCAATCGAACATAACATCTAGTATCACATGGAGTAATAAAGAATCATGGCTTTGTGTTTAAAAATATTAAACTATACATGGTTACTTCGTAGAGAAAAATTATGTTAATAAATAATTATGGATAAAAAAGCATTTCTATTTTGTTAATATATGCTTTTGTATTTAATGATAATGATGGCATTGCACACTCAGATTCTAACATTTATCTTCATACAAGTGAAATACTTACACTTGAGGAAAAATGCATAACTCTTTTAGAACATAAAAATTCGAAATAGAGCAAACCTTTACTATATTGTACACATTTCTAAGTTTACTCAGATATGCTTCAGTTTTTAGGATGGCTGCTCTTTATCTAAGGTATTAAATGAACAACTAGCGAGCTCTTGAATAGTACCTTTCTTCCAATAATAACGTAGAGAAAATCACCTTATTTCGAAAGAGGATGCATGTAGGAACCTTTCAAGAACTAATGTAATCTAGTTAAAATGATCACTATGTTTAAAATTAATAGCTGTGATGTACCGGCAATTAGTATGAAGCAAAGGCCAAATAATCGGTATTAAACATACAAGGCAAAATACGACCAAACAAGAAGTCTGTGAGCCAATGCTCACTAGTTCATAGATTTTACAGAATTTTTGAAGTTTGATAATTCTTTTACCTTACCTTTTTTTAATTTTCAATAACATGGAAAAGTGTTTTATGTCTAATTATTTCGAATATAATATAAATACTCCAACAAAAACAACAGTGAGCTTGACTTCCTCAAAGAAATTGAAAACTGTTATTTAAGATTGATATTTGTGGGCTGCTTTCATTATACTCCATATGATGACCGGTCACTGGTGTCTTCTAAATGTCGAAAATCCATCCTTTCTATCGCCTGAAGAGTATTTCGCATTGACTGGATTCATAAAAGACCAGTTTAACAAAATAGTTTCATGCCTCATATCACTTCAAGATTCATCTATCCGATCTGCGAGTATTTCAATTGCAGCTTCTTATTAAAATGATGAACAGGGTTGCGTTTTACAAAAGGTCGCAAGTCCTACAAGTCCTAAGTCTTAAACTTTGCCGAACTTAAGACAAATCGTAAGACCGTTTTACGAAACATGTCGTATCTTTAAATCGTAAGTTCTAAGTCTTAGATTGACGTCGCAAGTCGTAGTGGAAATCTTTTAGGTTTGGCGGTAGAAATGTCCTTCGATACTGCGGGAAACCCGACGCCGTTGACGTGCAGACGACATTTTCCGAAATGTCGCGAAAAAGTAATTGGTCCAAGCAGGAAATAAACGCCCTCGTCGACGCGGTTTCGGACCGCGTCGACATAATAAGAGGGAAGTTTTCTCCTCTCCTTACTGTAGAAAAGAAAAACAAGGCCTGGGAGGAGGTCAGAGAAAGGTAAAAGTAGAATTTAACTTTCCCGGATTTAAGTCATCTACAACAAATGCCGATTTTATTACAATACACTTCAATACTTTCTATTTCCATTACTGGAACTCTTCAAATTAGAGGCGCGTTTGGTCGTCTGACTGGAACAACAATGACGTAGCGGAGGATACAAAACATGCCGATCTCAATCCAATTTTGAATGTTTAATGAATTTGTCATTCCAGTTAGAATAGAAGAACTAATAGGCATATGTGAGATTGCGAAAGCCCAGGATTTATCATCTATTGATAAACATTACGACGTTTCCGAGGCATATACATTGTATTTAGAAATGAACCGTCAACACTACGTCTTGTCAACAACTTCCTGTGGTGAAAAAATTGACGTTGTTGTTTCTACTTCTTATGCATGTTAAGTCCACAACAATACAGTGTCTCATTTGCATGTTTGTTACGCGATTTTTCATCGACATTCAACATATTGTTTACATGTTGTTACGATTGTCCCTGAAATCCCGCGAGATTTGTACATTTTCCGACTTTTTCACAAAAGAGCGCACTAAGAACTATAACTCTTCCATGGTGGAAATAGAACGTATTCCTGTCAGAGTTTCGCGAAATTTACGATTTTGTCAACTTCTCAGTTTTCATTTGTAAGTGTCTTTTATTTCTTTGTTGCCTAATGTTGATTATGCTTAGTTTTTTTTTCCTTTTTTCAGTGTAAATGTGTGCAGTTACGCACAAAGAGACATAAAGAGTAATAAGAAAAAGCGGATTGATTTACAATCTCAGACCAGGAAGAAGGAGGCCGTCAGACGGCGAGAACAGAAGGGGACAGGAGGGGGGCCACCTCCTGATCCACTGAAGCCGTGGGAAGATGTTTTATACATATTATTATCTTTCAGTGCAGAGAATAAAGGAACATGATTAAAATTTAAAATCAGCTGAAAAATGTTTTAAAAAAAGATATCATGTAAACATGTATAATAAAAAATAATTATATTACGACACTAACTCAAAATTATTTTTTTAGCATTTTTTTTTTTTTTTGTAAAACAAAATAGATGAAAAGTTATATTTTACCACAAACCATGGGTGACCGATTTCCTCACATTCTGTACATCTAGCTATTTCACGCTCTACAAATTTTGTTTATGTATATCCACAATGTTTGACTTGATCAGTTTCACACAAAAAAACATTTTAATCACAACCATGCATATGAAAACAAAAACTATGAGCTATATCCACTGTATAAGTACTGTATAAGTGTGTAAACATTATTATGCAATAGAAGTGTAACGAAACAAAATTACATCGATCGTATTGATTGCAAGGGCTCTAGATACGATTCAATTGTTGACAGCTCTGTCATGATACATGTATCGCATGACCCTATCGTGATATGTATCGTATCGATAGGTAGCTTGCATACTCAAGCCTATTATGCAAGTTGTAATAAAAGTAGGTTTATATACATGTAACCAATAAGGGAAGAAACGCATATAGTTTTTTTGGTATAAATACATAGAAATCTCTTTGATGTTTAGATTGTTGAAGTTCTGGATGAGGACATGATTGCCGGCATCAGCGGTGGTTTTGACAACATGTCAACAACCACAGAATTATCTGTGGTCACAACTGAAGGTAAACAAATACAACAATGAATAGCTAGAATACTACCAGGTATTACATATTCCTTTTTTGTTTGTTTGAGCCATAAAAATAAGTACCGTAATGATTAATTATTTTTTTTTAGACTTCTAAGTTTATTTGTGGCATGTGCTGCTAAACAGCTATAGAGAGTCATATTGGTCCCATGTTAGACCATGTAACACAAATTTTTACATTTAAGTAAATGTAACAGTATATTTGTAATTAATTTTACAAAAATGGTAAAATTTAAGAATTGTATTTTTCAAGAAATTTACTTACCCCCCCCCCTTTTTTTTTTATCTGTGTTCAATTGTATAAATATTAATGGATTTAGCTAGGTACTTCTATGTCTTTGCAAATAATACCAGTATGTACCACATTTTAAAATTATTATTATTGACATTTTTTGTCTTACATATTGCAATCACAATTAAACAGGTAATTCCACAAAGTCCAGCAATTCATTCGCATGTAACTACCCATGTAGTTCATCATCTCCTGCAAGAGGTATAGTATATATATGTAATCAATAAATGAAAACAGATTATCATAGTTCCTGGCATAACAAAGCAGCATATTATTTTAATATTCATAATTTAAGAAGAATTACAATATTTTGGTTTGACACTGCTCTCTATAAGTTTATAATGATTTAAGGCCAAATAAAAAAAACATGTGTGGTTCCGGTTACCCGACCTTCCCTATTTTATACCCCCGACCCTAAACTTTTTTTTGGCAATTTTCATATTTTTTCCGGAATTTCCCCCGATTTCCATCAATGGCTCCAGTTTAAGTTTTAGTCTCAGCAATGACGGCCTCCTTGCAAAACATAGTGCAAATTTTTAATAGTGTTAAATCCATAGCAAGCTAGCATGTAGGTGTCCCCTACCAATATTGACTAGTATATTATCATACCACATCATTTTTAAAAAAAAAAAAAAAAATAAAGAAAAAATCCCTACCTACTTACCCTAATTTTTTTGGAAGTGTAACCGGAACCACACATATTTTTTTGCTTGGACTTATTATCCTTATTTGTGAATTGATCATTTTTCTGATTGGTACTAGTATATAAAATATGCCATCTTTTCCAAAACAGTTGGATTGACAAATGTCTTGGTGTCATGTCAAGACCCTTAAAGGACCTTCTTGTCCGAAAACCGATTTCCCGACGTGCACTGCGCACCGATGATTTTGACAATTAAAGTAATGATGAGCATCTAGTGTAGTGATTGCAACATTCAAAATGTCTCCCACTTAAAAATCAAATGATATGCCCTAATCGACTACCATATCGCTTAGTAGTCATCCAGTGCCTTCGTGTCCCTACCAAATCCACTCAACTTCCGGTTGCCCCAATTTTGAGGAACAATCTTGAAGTTATTGTGTGGTGCTTCCTTAATGCCGTCGATATCTGTTGTAAACATTTTTATGATCGTTAATTCATTTTCAACAATATTTCACCAGAGAAATGTATAATCTTTTAATTGTTTTAATTTTTCACAAATTTCTTCAAAGGAACCCCCTGCAGACCCCATACTGGCTGTCTTAGCACGCTCTTCTGCAGTCAAACGCCGCATACGGTGTAACTTTTTTTTCTGAGTTTTTAATTAGTAAAAACATCGAGAACACAACCACAAAGAAAAAACTATTACGTTTTGAAAGAATGTTGCAAAAAAATTGAACAGGGCAACACCGTTCAACAAAATCAAAAACTGATTAACAGGATTATGTTTTCACACTGAATTTTGACTACAGAAAGTTCCGTCTACCTGATCAATACTTAATGATGAAAATAAATTTTCAGTCTAAAGGAAGGGGTATTAATTTTGTGAAAATGGGTTACTAGCAATCGTCTTTAAACTCGGTCTTGATCTGTTAGTCATCAATGTAAAACGCGTACCAAAAATCAGCTCATTATCAACAAACATAGCGCAAGAAAAATAGTCTTGAAAATTAAATATGACGGATTGTCAATAACGAACGGAAAGGGATAAAACTATGTTCCGACCATTTTGTGGCGGGGGCATAAAAATATTAAGTAGTTTCAGAGATCCTCTCCGGACAAAACCCTTTATACAGACAAACGGATATGGTGATTCCAATATACCCCCGAAGCTTCCCTGCAGGGATATAATGATATAAACGATATTGTTGAGGTGAAAAGACCATTTATTTCAGACAAAAAGTAATATTTAAAACTGCATCCATCAAACAAAATAGTAAAATTTAGATATTTCAAAGAAAGGTCTCTTTTTTATGCGAAACATTTTAATCTCACTAGGCAATATGGTATGTCCTTTACCGGCTCTCCTATTATATTTGTCCGACGCCGATCGTCGCCTCTTAAGTGCAGAAGGAGGCAATTGCACGCTTACTATTGACATAAGTTTCATCAGTGGAAGAGATTTTGAGTCGTTTTTCTGACACTTGGATCCACATGGTAACATCTCTCGAAAAGCACATCGAAACTTTTTTGACAACACATTGTATATTATTGGGTTTATTGCACTACTAATATACAACATCACACGTGTAAAAGTGATCAAGTTCAAATAGCCCTCTAATCCCAGTTTATACAGTTGTGATGGAGGGACAAAAATAAGCCATATCCCAAGTATCCTCTGTGGCAAAAGAAATATGAAAAAAGTCGTTATAACGAGAATTAGCATGACAATCACACGGCGTCTCCCGTTAGCCATTTTGTCGGCATCTTGTCCAGTTCGTGTTTCTAAAAACTGTACATGCCAAATAAGTTTTCTGCACATACGAGCAACAAGGAAGAGAAGTAAAAGAAGCATAAGGATGAAAAATATCGAAAATAGCCCCACTATGTAAACTTTCTTCCATAATATATTTATTGGCATTCTACATACTTTAATGAGAGTCCCATCGATGAACCTCGAATTGCGATAAACGGCGATGAACGCTATCGGGATACTTGCTGTCACTGCAATTGCCCATAGCCCAGTGATGACGGATTTCACCTTTAATTTGGTCCAGAAACAGGTGGAATAAAGTGGAAAACATATGCCGCGATACCGGTCGTATGTTATGGCCACAATTGTAAGCACTGACGCCAGGGACACAAGATGTTCTACAAATGGAACAAATCGACCTAAAATTCAAATAAATTAGGTTAAAGAAATTGATTTTACATTCTTTAAATACAAAATCTCATTAATCTAGCTCCCTCGTGATTCTATTTACAGATATAGGATTGTACTTGATATATTAATCAACACCCATCTTTTCGTTATTGTTTTAGTTTCAACAAGGTTTTCAGTTTAACAATTTTTTAACTTGGAATGAAATTTTTTCTTTCCTTTTTCATCTCATTAAAAATAATGAATAATAGAAATCCGATTAGCTTACACATGAATTCCCCGAGGTACCATACTTCTTTTGCAAATAGATCAACTGCAGCTGAGGGTATGCCCACGATGAGTACCATCAGATCAGCAACACTAAGGTTAGCAAAGAGGGCACTCATTCTAGACTGGATCCGCCTAGCGATTACAACAACAATCACGACAGAAACGTTTGACGCGAATCCAACAGCAAAGATAACCGAGTAGAGAACACTCGCAATGATTAGTATATATTGAGGGGGTTCAGGGACATTAACAGAGTTACTGATGTTGTGAGTGCCATTCTTTTCCCATTCGCTTGCATTAGCCATTGTTTATAATACCAAATTATGGAAAGTATCTCGGCTTTTATAATATCAAACCTGTTAGATTTTTTTGTGTGAAATTCTTATCGAAGTTCATTGGACATATCAAGTGTCAATATAATGTGGGTTGGAATAACATTTAATACATAATGATAACATTCCATATTGAGAAGAAATTCAGATTCACTAGTAACTGATAAATAAAATTCCTAAAAAGTAAATTTTGCCAAGGACCAAGTCTAGATCTGCACTAGACATTAGTGCTGGAGAGAGTTAATTGATTAAACTTTTCATTATTTGTTCCAAGGTTACTTATTCTGTATCTTTCCATTCGTCATTAGCCATTAGAACATATAGAATAGATTTTCAGATAAGTAAAGGTATCACACCGGTAATTGTTTTCACTATATAATTCTATATAGAATAAAAAATTCATGAAAAAAATATTTAGCAGGAAGTGTTAAACGTTACCAGTCACATCAGCTGAAACCAAAATATAGGGCACGTACATGGCATTTTCTGATTTTTTCCATCTGCAAACAGGAATACCCTCAAAACCATGTGTTTTCAATGTGTTTGTAAACATTTTGTGTGCACCCCAGGAAGTGGCCTCATATGCCCTGAAAGAAAGAGTTCCTGTCAAAAACCTTTAATATTTTACAAAGTACATAAATATCCAAAGCACTGATACCAAAAAATGTTAAAATAGAAAAAGGGAAAATATAAAATTTCTCACAATAATAAAAAAATCTTTATTATGTATGGAACTACAATTGACTAAGTTCATTTTAATTGGTCAATTAACGGTGTAATACCTTGAAGGCGGAATGATTACCAAATGAATTTTTTTATCGCACTTATCAAGGAATTTTTGTTATATATGTGATTGCAATTTTACGGAGATAAATTATCAAACATGAGTAGTTCACACAGGACCAAAATAAAAACATTTTTCACATGAAAGAATATTAATTTCTGTAAACATTTCATGATAAATGTAACAAAATTTAAATTTACTACTTAAATCTCTGTTTCTCAATGAAAAAATGAGGTCCTTCATGGCCCCAGAAATAAATTGTCTCCCCCTTTTATTATCTTTTAAGTCCCAAATCAATATTTTTGTCATCTACACACAGTTTAAGCGTCTTGATTTCATGAATATCATAGAACATAGCGCGCCTCCACGGTAGCACAGTCGGTTGTGATCGGAAGGTCGTGTGTTCGAATCACGGCCGCGACTGACCTAAGCCGATTAAAAAAAGGTAGCAACTGTTCCTTCGCCAAGCGCTCGGCACTTTGAAGTAAAAGTTGCGGGTCCTTCGGATGAGACCTTAAAAACCGAGGCCCGTTGTCACGGTAAGAGTTGACACGATAAAGAATCCTTACTGCTCAATGGCCCTTAAGTGCCGAGTAAAGGTCTAAATTTGAAGCCCTTCACTGGTATATGATGACGTATCTATATGAGTGAAAAATTCTATAACGGTACGAGCAGTGAGGGATCTTTTTCGTCCCAGCACATACTGCTACACGGGACCTCGGTTTATACGGTCTCATCCGAAGGACCGGTCTCCACGTCCCACAGTGGGATTCAAACCCGCGACGAAATATTCGTTGTACTATTTTAGCAATCATTATGAATTCATGTATGTTATTACAGTTCAGAAACCCACTAAAATGTATTGTTTAAAGCACAGATTTCTAGCAGCTTTAGTATAAAATGTGAAAACTTAAAATGCATTTTGTTAACATCTTACAGTGTATATTTGAACAATACCATATTCATTAATTGACATTTTCTCTTTTGAGATTAACTGTCCTGAATTTATTATTTCTACGTAGGAAGCGAGTGCAATAAACTATATGAACTTCTACCCAATCCTTTTGTACTTTTGAACTTACAATAAAATATGTTCGAATCAGCTGATGGATTCTAAAGGATATGGCTACAGCCCAACAGGCTGAATTTCCAATAGATTTTGAGTAGAAGGTTTAAAACTTTGCTTTGTTACTTTATTTCATGAAATAATTTTATGATTTCCTAAAATAGCATGGCTTCCTTCAGATAAGTAATGTCCATTGTTCTTGAATTATACAAGCGTGTCAATGGACTTAAATTTCAGGGAATATGCAATATTTTATTTCATTCTGCTCTAACATTGAAGTCTCTTTTAACCACTCTTTCTCCCTATATATGTTTGTAAGCATAGAAAAATAGCATTTTGTTGAAAAATTATACGAAGAATAGATTAATTCAAAAGCACCATGAAGCCCTTTGTTGTTATTCTTAGCTGAAAATTGACAGTAAATATTTGTCAAAGTTTATTTTTAAACTTAGTTGTGTTTAAGTATATTATTCATGGTTATATAAATTATTTTTGAAAATAGACCTGAAAATTAGAATGCAGAGATATGGGAGAACAAGTTAAAATTTCGTTCGTTCATCTTTTACTTGTGTTGGCCACCATAGACGCTTCTTCAACATCACCAGGTAAAGTTTAGATTTACAAAATTTATTTCAGTTCTTGTGTTAAGTAAAAGGGATACCATCTATGAATAATATTGTTATTTATCTTTTTTCATATGTATTCAGTATTTTTCACATTCTTCTTCGAGATTGATTTATCAAAGAATTCGCTTACTTAAGAAGCAGTTATAATCTTGTGAATGATGGCATCTTTGACAAAAAAATAAGGCAAAGGTAATTTGTTATTTAATACAGTAGTCAGATATTTTGAAATTTTCCATCATGGATTTGTAGACTGATGGAGGATTTAAAATGGCCCACAAGAAAGTTGTATGCACATAGTCTTTTAAAGAACTAAAAATAAAGTGACTATTTCACCACCACCATAAAAAAAATCTAGTTTCTATTCACCTTCTTTGTCAGATATTTGAACTAAAAGAAAAACAAAAATAATCCGTGCTAGTTTAAGTATCATACTCAGAAAGAGAAAGTACATGTAATAATGTCAACTAATTTTATCGAAAAGCTAACAAGACTAAAGATCTCTTTGTCACGATCTTCAAAACTCGCATTTAAGCACTTTTAGGTTACAGTTTTATATTTTACAAGAAGAGACTCATAAATAAACAAAGGAAAGTCAGTTACTACAAAAGAGAAGCATTGGAGATTAGTGATATTCTGTTCAGCGTTATTGCATTTTACAAAGATGTAAACTATTAAAATTTTTGTTACATCTATCAATTAATGATTTTGATACATGTACCGGTAATTAATAATTTTGATGTAGGGTAAACTAGTAAAATTGAATGGTAAATCAGCAGATAACTTGGTAATAATGTGTAAAAAATATCATTCAATTAATACATGTGATTGCATGCAGTAAAAATTCAGTCAAAATTCTTTTGGTGTATATTGAAAGGTGTAACCAAGATAGAAACATAAAATGATTTTCATATTATCGTTAAAATTAAACTCAAGTTGTGTATTATACAATATTGCTGTTTTGAGGTCATTACAATGGTTTAGCTTGCCTAGGTGTACGCATTCACCGATCCTGAAGAAGAAAGTAAATATTGTTCCTCGATGGTTGTTGGATCATTATATTAAAACAAAAACAAAACAAAAAAAAAAAAGCAATTTCAATTCTTGTACAATGCCCTATGTATCATACCCATAGGGTATGGTGTGAATGAAACAAGCGTGACCTTTTGATTTGGCTCTTGGATTCAAATTTTTTTTATAGGCTGAAAAAACCTCGAAAAGTGGATGTAACACTGTTTTTGTAAATATGGATTATCTCCCTTTTCAGCTTAAAATTAGAACATTTTACTTGTCATGAAAATATTTTGATTAATTTAATGAAAAATAAATTGTGTTGTATTTGAATTTGGAAAATTGAGAAATTGTTTTAAAATGTCAATTTATTTTTACATGCATATATATGCATGTTCATGGGTATATGGCATTAATATTGTACTGTGACAAAAAAGGGATATTGCCATTTTTTGTATGAAACTCGTCAATCGTTTTGGGAAATTAATAATCATTTGCACAAAAATGTTTTTATTATTTTATTTGCTATAGGGTATATATGGTGTCTATGAAATTAGCATGACCTTTTGGTTTGGCTGTTGGTTTTCTTAGTTTTTTGATAGCTGAAAATCATCAAAAAATATTTTGCTGTTTTTGTTAATATGAATTATCTCCCCCTTTTCAGCTTAAAATTAGAACATCTTACTGGTCATGAAAATATTTAGATTAATTAAAAAAAGTAAATAACTGTGTTGTATTTGAGTTCGGAAATGTAAAGAAATTGTGTTGAAATGTCAATTTCCCTTTACATGCATACATATATGGCATATATTAGACTGTGACAAGAAAAAGTGAAATTGCCATTTTTTTGTATGAAACTCATCAATCGATTTGGGAATATAATAAGCATATGCACAAATATGTTTTCATAATTTTATTTGCTATAGGGTATGGTGTCTATGAAACTACATGAAGCATCACCTTTTGGTTTGGCTGTTGTTGTTTTTTTTTTTTAATATTTTGATAGCTGAAAATCCTCAACAAATTGATATTTTGCTGTTTTTGTCAATATAGATTTTTCTCCCCTTTTCAGCTTAAAATTTGAACATCTTTTTTGACATGGAAATATTTTGATTAATTATGAAAAGTAACTACTTGAGCTGTATTTGAATGAGAAATAAACATAAATGTGATTTATTGTCTGATTTTCTTTTTATTTCATCTGAAATATTGATATTTTTGCCTAATTTTAGAGGAAATTTCAGCCATGTTTTACCGAAAACAGTTTAACTGTTGCCATGGCAACCAGAAACAGAATTGATAAAAATCATTTTATTTTTTTGTAATATCTAAGCATACTCTACCAAAGTTTGAAAAAATTCTGAAACCCCCCATTTATCACCTCCTGCAGGATTTTTACATGGATCCATACAAAATCTTTTTGGCCGAAACCTTCTAGCAGCTGGGGCCATGATTTTAATTAACACACTTCAATTTACATGTACCTGAAGGTGCTTATATATTCATATGACTAAGCATGACTTTCTTGTTTTTGAGAAGATTGTTTTATAGTTTGGTCTTTTACTGTGGTTCCAACATACCCCAGGGGTTTATAACTTGAACAGAATTGAATCTGCAGTACCTACAGGATGATTGTACTCGTATATTCATACGACCCATTCTGGCTTTGCTGTTCTTGGGGGAGATTCTTTCCTTTATATATTCCTATGTAAAGTTGTTCAGTATGACCCCACCCTACCCCCGGGATCATTATTGGAACAAAAATTAATCTTTTTATGTAAAGTTTCATTTTTTCTGGCAGAGTGGTTCTTGAGAAGAGGGTATTTCAAAGATGCCATTAATTTTCACAAACTCTTCGTAAACTCCCCTTCAAAAGGCCGTGGCTCTTCATTTTCAACAGACATAACCTTCACCCAAGTTGTTTGAAATTGGCCAAGTGGTTATGGAGAAGATGAAATTTTAACGACGATAACGACAAATAACGGACAAATTTTGATCAGTAAAACTGCCTTGATGAGCTCTTAGTATGTCAAAGGCTGTCATGTATACCCTTTGTCCTAAAATAGGGGTTAACAGGGGTCAACGCGGCGGTACAAAAACAGCACAAAATACCAGTGATTGATTGATCTTTTGCAGTTTCAGACCGAGGCGGCAGATTTCAGTATTATTATGGCGGTAAAAAAGTTCTACGACAATTTTTTGGAAAATTTTTGACATCCCATACAAGAATACCAGTGAAAGATAATGAAGAGCGCCAATCACCAAGTAACAAACCGACAAGACAAACTTCCATTATTAAATAGAGGTCATCAACTAATCAATTTGACTTTTACTGTATGTATTGAATGCTAATGTACGATGTGATTTCAAATCTAGATTACCGTCAGTTCATATGGGATCATAATCAGTCGAGGTTGTAGTAATAAGAAAACATGGTTAAACAACATCTTGGTTAATCCTATCTCGGTGACCGGATACCATGCCGCCTTTGTACAACTCTCCTATGGATTGATTGATTGATGGTATGTTGTTTTACGTCCTATTCGAGAATTTTTCACTCATAGAGAGACTTCACCATGTACCAGTGAAGGGCTTCAAAGTTGGACCTATTACTCGGCACTCACGGCCATTGAGCAGTGAGGTTTTTTTTTTATCGTGCCAACGCCTAACGTGACAGGGACCTCAGTTTTTAAGATCTCATCCGAAAGACTCGTGACTTTCATATCTATTCAGGGATAGACATTAACTTTCAGATTCACTTGCCCTTCGGGCAAGTGATCTCAAATTTTGACTTGTCCGAATGCAAAACTTGGTTGCCCAAAATTAGGAAGGAACTTAAGAAGAAAATTATTAATCAATGTAAACGTTATGATAAGAAAAAATGTGACCAAATACGAGTACACTACTGTCAATTTGGCAAGTTGAGCTACCTAAAAAAAATGTCGATGCATGGTGCATTTGTACATAAATGTATAACGCTGTACTTGAAAAGAAAATTTAACCTGTTAACTCACACTGGCATGCAACAATAACCCTCCGTTTCCTTTTAATAAAATTCATATTTTTAAAAATTATTTTCGGTAGGATCCTTTTGTGATTCGTGATTTTCAGATATAACTGTGAAGCAATACTTAAGGTAGATGCTACGAAACATGCATCTTATCTTGATAAGAATACATCGTGTTACACTGTACTTATATTCTGTGCTTGAATAAATAATTTAATTTCCTAATAAGGAGTTATCAAAATTTTGTCAGAGGTAGAGCGTATTTTCTATGAAAGAAAATAACGAACCCGATTTTTAAATGAGCGGTATAATCCAGAAACGCTACCGAGGAATTTCGAATGCAAAAACATTATCAGTCAGGTGCGTGGGGGAAATCAAGTCTTCAATTTATTGTTTTATTTATAAATTAATGTAAACTAAATAAATATGTACATTTGTATGAGAAAAATTCACTTGCCCGATCGGACAAGTACGTCGACAATTTCACTTGCCCGAACTGAGAATTTACTTGTCCCGGGCAATCGGACAACCGTTAATGTCGATCCCTGCTATTGCCGTGCGCCTTGCGAAGGAACAGTCACTATGTTTTTACCTCTTAGGATTGGATGCGGCGCGGCGAACCAGAATAGTACCCGGACCTCCCGATCACCCTAACACTAGGCTACCGTAATCGGTTGGAAGAATGGATTGAATGCTTATTGTTTTACGTCGAGTCTTTAGTATTTAAACCACATTTCGGCAGTAAAATTTATTTCCTGTGACCGGTTTTGACATCTTTTTTTCTTTTTTGTTTTCTGACCCCAGTGAGCCTTCTTTCTTTCGGAAAGTAGAAAATAGGAGGCGTTGCTACCTACGTCAAGAAAAACATTCCCTTTCAAACGGAATGAATTTGAAAATCAGGACCTTGAAACAAAACGGGCGACACCTCCCACGAGGTGTGTCAGTAATAATCACAGGAGCCAGT